CCGGGGGTAGCAGCGGCTTGTAGGCCAGCTTCAGCTTCTCCAACTCTGCCTCTTGTAGCCTTTTGGCCTTGGCCCGGCGGTTCTGAAACCAGATCTTGACCTGCGTCTCAGTGAGGCTCAGGCTGCGGGAGAATTCGGCTCGCTCCGCGATGGACAGGTACTGCTTCTGGCGGAACTTGCGCTCCAACGCCAGCAGCTGAGCGGTGGTGAAGGGAGTCCGCGGCTTTCGGTTGTTCTTATGTTTTCGGAGGGTGCAGGGTGGAGGGCTGGGGGCACCTGTGAAAAAAGAGAGACACAAAGCAGTCATTTAAACGCCAGTAATGCGCGCTCCTAACCTGACGTTGCCAGATTCCCGCGAAGGCCAGTTCTGCGTGCAAGTCCGGGTTCCATGACTGCAGTCTTCCGTGGTGGCGAAACCCCAAAAGCCACTGGAGTAAGAGAAACAAGGCACGCAGTGGGGAGATAGCGGGGATGGAGGGGTAGGCCAGTGTGGACTCGGGCTCTGCTCCCCAGACAGGCGACCCTGCGTTCCAGAGAGAATAGGGACTGCCCACTTGGTAGTTCGGGCGAGAGGCCGCTGCAAGAACTGAGCAGTGAGCCGGGAATGAGAACACAGCGAAGCAGAGGTTAACCACTTAAAGGACAGACGGAGCCGGTTAGGGGTGCTTGGCATGTAGAGTCTTGGAGCCTACAAGTTGGGATCATGGACTGTGAACTCCTCCGCGGGTAAAGAGAGTACTGAAACCCAACCGGCGTGGGGCATGGGACCGGCTTCAGGAACTGTCGGCGCCGGAGGTCTGGGGAGGGCTGTTTTCTTTTTTGCACTCAGGCTTGCGCGTCAGCGTCTAGTTACTTAAGTTACGAGCGACATCGCCCTTCCCGCCCTGGTCCTCCAAGCCCGGGCTAGACGGGCTCCACTTATAGCCCGGATTGCGAAGCTGGGGACTTACGTGGGGGGGATGCGCGGGCGGCCGGCGGGAACCAGGCCCCAGGCTCCGAGACGCCCAGCGGCCTCTCCTCCCCCGGTTCCGCGGACTCCGCAGCCGGCCCGCGCTCTGCCTCCAGCAAAGACTCGACGCTGAAGGGCAGCGGACCAGGCCCTGCGCCGCCCCCGCCGCGCGCCCTGAGCCCAGTCGGGTTCATGCCGAGAGACGCCGGAGCCATGCGCCGGGCTGCGGGTGCGGGGCTGACCGGGAGGGGCGGGCGGGACGTTAGGGGCAGCGCGCGGCACCACTGCCCCTGGGTAGGCGGCGCCCCCGCCCTCCTCACCCTATAAAAAGGTGGTGCGGCTTTCATGCGCCGCTGTCCAATCGTCGCTATCGCTGATGTGCGGGCTTCGGTGCCGGTTGGCTTCGCTGCTCTGAGAGGCGGGACGGATAGGGGGAGGCGGGGCCGCTGCCTGGGACCGGTGCGCCCTGGCCCGGGATGGTTTGGCCGCTTTAGTGCCGAGATTCCCGCGCCCGCGTCATCTCCTGGCTTGCTGCGGGCCTGGCCCGCACTCCTTCCAAGGAGATTGCTGGGGTTATTTCGGCGCCGCGCGGTGCTGGCCTCAGCCTCTCGGTCCTGAGGAACCGACCGCAGGTGCGGTGGCCCGGTGGATCCGCTGTCAGGGCACCGGCCCTTGGCCCCGCGCAGAGCCGGCGACGTGGAGTGTTTGGCGCTGTGAGACATTTAGTGCGCGCCCTCCCGAAGTATCATCCCGTTGTCGCTCACTCGCTGCTCTTTTCTCTGCATCCCAGCCCTTAAGCGCAGAAAGCCCGGAACTTGCCTACTTTGTCCCCGGTACTCTCACGGTACTCTGGGGGCCTCATGTGACCGACCCCGCGCCCAGAAACTCTGCTTCTGCCCTCTCGAAGTCGGGGATAGTGTACTAGTCCCTGTGACTTTTCGGATCGTTGAGGTCACCAAGCGTCTTTCCAGGCAGGATCCGCCCCATGCGCTGCTTGTGTGTTCCAACGCCCAACCCTAGGAGTGACTGGTGTGACACGTCGTGGGTCCCTGGGTAGGGGCCACGGAGAAGGTGGCTAGGGGCAACCTCTTACCGGCCTCAGATGCAACGCTTGGGCAACAGATTCTGTGCCTGGGACTGTTTCTGGCCGGGTGCGCGGCTGTCGTCTCTGGGTGCGGTTCACCATCAGCCTCTAGCGCTTGGCGCTTGTCTGGCTCCATCGTTCCGGCAGACCAATGAAAGGTCCCAATGAAACTACAGACCTTGGACGGGGAAGGTTTCCGACTGACCCCAGTCTGGCGGGGCGAGGATGGGCCCTGGGCTGCTCCCGGGAGTTGTCCTAGGACCCAGGAGGGGTCAGAGAGGGAAGAGCTGAGGATCTGTAGAAACTTGCTCTTATGTGGATTCTTTTTCCAAAACTTTACAGATCTTTTGATTTGAAAACCTTCTCTAGTGTTGCAGTGAGGTGTCACTTAGCAAGTCTCTTCTCCAAGAGAGGAATACAGACTGGGTTTTAGGACCAATCACGAAATTGGTTTTGGGGTAATAACTTTATGTCTGATTAATATATTTAGAATACAGACACAACAATCCAAATCAACATGTATTTCTTTTCAAACAAAAACAAAGTTGCCTTAATGAAGTCCAGCTTTGGGGAACTGTTTAACTGTCTAACTCAGTCAGAGAAATTCAAGGAGCAATTTTTTTCTTCATCCAGATTCAGAAGAGTAGCTAAAAGGGGCCCTTAGGGGGTTCCCAGGTGAGGCTTGGTGTCTGCAGTGTGGATCTGTTCTTTCTGTATTTTAAGCCTGATTGCCTCTTTCTAATATAATAAAGATGTTCTGACTTGATTGAAGATAATTGCATTGTTAAGGCACTTTCTTTGAAGGTCTGTCTTAGAGTTTATCTTCACCAGGCTACTCACTGGAGTGTTCAAAGAAGAATTTTAATAAGGATGACAGCTGGCTGGCCTGGGCCTGCCCCACATCCGCCTCAATGCCCTGAAGGTGGCCTCTGGGTGGATGAAGCAGGAGCCTGTGGCTATTGGGGAAAGGACAAGGACACAGGGCCAAGAGCAGGTCAGCTCTGAGGGGATCCTGCCCTGCCAGGGACAGTCCTGTCTTGCATTCTTGTCCTTTCTCTCACCTCCCAATGGGTGTTTCTATTGGCATCCTTCCTTGTGGGGCAAGGAGGGGCAGCTTCCAAACTGTCTGGTACCACCGACCTCAGTTAGGAGGCTGAGAAGGAAGGGAAGATGCAAGGGGATGGAGGGCACCCCAGGATGGGCATGGAAACCTGTTTCCCAACATTGGGTCTTCAGGTGTTCTGTACAGACCTGGAATAGTTGTAGCAGGAGTGGTGGAGGTGAGAAAGAATCCCTTCTGACAACATGGTGGCTTTGGGTGCAGGAACATAAATTCCATATGCAAAGAGTGTCTGGAGAGTTTCTGGCCACCAGGAGACAGGAAGACGATTTGAGCATGTGGCTTCCCAGCAGCTTAGAAGCAAGCCTTGTGTCTGTGTAGATGCTTTGACAGGAGGCCAGACACAGCCACTGGTGGTGAGCTGAGGCCAGCAAAAAGACACCCCCAGTCCCAGTTGTTTCCCTAAAATGATAGCAAAACCTCCAAAGACTGCCGGGCTTACTCCACACTTTGGCAGATACTTTGTTTGAATAGTGTTATTTACTTCTTGTGTTTTGGTGGTACTTTTGGTGCTGACTTCATTGAGAATAAATTTTTTTTTCAAGAGATTTTTGCTATAGGGCATGATGTGTGCTCACTGGAGAAACAGAGACAAAGAGACAGAAAACAAGAAATCACCCCTGGGGGAGTGGAGGGAGATGACCATGCCACAATCCCTTCTCTTTCATTCTCCTCTCGGGTTCTTGGGCACGCACGCACACGTGCCCAGCATGAGTTTTAAGCCACCGGGTCCAGGACGCCAACCGCGGTCAACTACGTGGGAGTCCAGCGACATAACCATTATGCCATCTGCTGGCCCCTAGAATGAATACATCCTTTTTTTTGGAGAGGTTTTCGCTATAGGGCACGTGCGCTCGCCAGACAGACAGAGAGAGACATAGAGACAGAAAGCGAGAAATCACCCCCCAGGGGGGATGGTCACGCCGCAATCCCTTCTCCTCCATTCTCCTCTCGGGTTCTTGGGCACGCACGCACACGTGCCCAGCATGAGTTTTAAGCCACCGGGTCCAGGACGCCAACCGCGGTCAACTACGTGGGAGTCCAGCGACATAGCCATTACGCTAACTGCTGGTTCCCTTTACATTTCAGAATTCAGTGATAATACAGATATTGGAGGATGAAAAGGAACACTATAAGATTTTTGAGAAGGGCTTTCATTTTGTAGGATTTATATGATCAAGTTTAGAATTTGACAGTATAAAAAAAGAAACAGTCTTGGGACCAGCAGGTAGCATGGTGGTTGGGGCGCTGAACTCCCACAGGGCCTCCTACCGTGGTTTGAGTCCTAGACCTGGTGGCTTGAAGATCACACCTGGCAAGTGTGCATGTGTGCCCCAAATCCCAAGGGAGAATAGAAGAGAAGGGCTTGCAGCATGGTCATCCCCTCCAGTGGTGGTTTCTCACTTTCCCGCTCTCCCTCTCCCTCTCTCTCTCTCTCTCTCTCTCTCTCTTCCTAAGGCAAACACATTAAAAAAAAAAAAGATATACCAAAATAAATGTATACTTTAAAATAAAAAAATAAATAAAAAGAGTGCTCAGCAAACAGTGTAATGGTTACATTGTTGGACTCCCACACAGTCAACTGTGTTTGGAGTCCAGGACCCTGAGGCTTAGAACTCATGTCAAGTGTGTGTATGTTAGTGGTTAAAATCCCAAGAGGAGAGAATTGAGGAGAAGGGATTGCAGTGTGGCTATCCTGCCTGTGGAGTGATTTCTTGTTTTCTGTCTCACTGGTGATTATGCATAGCCTATAGTAAAAAAAATCTCTAAAAAATAAAAAATAGCCCCCCTTCTCACTTCAGTCTTGGGCAGATGTCCCGCCGAGGTGGTGTAGTGCATGCTGGACTGAACTGCAGTGCTTGAAGCCACATGGATGACCATGAGTTCAGATCCACAGGGCAGCTTGAAAATACAGGGAGTACAAGTATGGGGTGCCCTAGATCCCGAGGAGCTAGAGAGCTGGGCAAGGGGATCACAGTATTTGTTTTTTCCTCTCTCTCTTTCTCTGTCACACACATTCATGGTTGATCATTAAAACAAAACAAACCACAACAAAACTTGGACAAAGAGGAGCATTTAATGCTGCACAGTTGTGGCTTCGTAAGACCATAGCTAGACAATGCCATGCAATTGAGGATGAAACCATGTTATCAAATGAAGTGGTACAACTGCTTCCGGATATTGATGACTTGTGTCCAGCCCTTTATGAGAAAAAAAAAAAAATCACAGATTTCCTTAAAAAAACATAGTCAGCAGTTTGTAATAAGCAGTTTGTGGACAATGGATCTTTACTGGCAGCTGACTACCATGGACTCATTCCAGGCCAGAATCACCCAAAGGCCTCACTTCCCAGACAATTTAATCTCTAAGGAAAAGCAATTGGAAACCACCAACTTAGCTCTGTCCTCTTACAAAATTGCTATGGCCTCAGGCAACCACCAACTCACCCTGAAAGGCTAGGGCTATGTTTCCCAAAGACATTTTTGTTTGGCACCTTTGGTTTTTTTCCTTCCCAACTCAGAAAATTGCCCCAAACACAGTGACACTTTACCCACAGCTCTAGCCAGAAGCAGACCAATTGGAATGAGCTCTGATGGTTAGGGGGGTGAGAAGGGGCAGGTGGGACATGAGGTCCATCAGATGGGACAGGGAGGTACATGAGCAGGACAGTGAGGTACACAAATGGGACTTGAGGTGCACAGTGGGACATGAGGTGAACCTGAGGATGCCAGACAAGGCCTGACAGAGAAAGGCTCAAATGCAGATGGGGATTGAGGATAGGAGTCACTGGGAACCCCAGGTCTCATGCGCTTCCTCTCCTTTGCATCTCTCGTACTGTCCTGTTTTTTCTGCTGACTCATTTTCCCAGTTACCCTTTATGCTCAGGCTAAAAACTTTGCCAGTCTTCTTTTGAAAGAGAAGAATCAGAGGAGAAACCTGTCTTTATTGAGCGATCATTCACTCAATACGTACATATTCTTTTCTCCAGTGTAGAATGACCTCTCAAGAGGCCCAGGGGTCCTGCAACC